GTTCTTGCACATACCAAGGTGCCTTTTGTCCCTTGTTCATAACCGTCACATTGTACTCTTTTTTGATTCCTCAAATTGCCCTTGAGAAGGAAACATCAGAATTTGGTACAACATAGAGTCGCCAACAGCATAGAATCACACCGCGCTTGTTGACACTTCTAAACTGTAATGCATTCTGCTATTTCTTCTTCATCGATTCTGTTCAGAGTCAAGCCGATGTTTTAGTGCAAGCCATACCAACAAAGCATACCGCTCTCCTAGTGACACTTAAAGTCAATCCACCTGTTCTGGAAGGCAGTACAACGCCATGCTCATCCCTAGGTCCCGGAAAAATGCAAAGTCGCTTTTCAGCTGCCCTTTACATATCGCAAGAACAACAGCACCGTTTCGCACGCTAAAAGTCTCTTTGGATTGCTCTTTAATGCTAAATTATATTAATTCGAAATTGATCCTAATTCAAAATTGTTCCAGTCAATGTTCTGGCTCGCACGTTTGATCCCTGTTCGGGCGAATTTGAAATAGTGCACGGCTTTTGAAACAAACTTAATATTGTTTATGAGGAGAGGACATCAGTGTGAGTGCTGCCTGGGCAGGAACAAATTTCACACTGTATGTGCGCAATGGTATTGAGTTCAATCCAGACGCTGTACATTGCTGTGCCCGTGGCTTGAGTTCTCCATCCCCAGAATTCATTGCGTAATTGATGACGAAAACTGTACTTCCAACTGCGTTGACTGGGTGACGATGCGGCCACCATAGCGGCAGAATTCGAACTGACCGGGCGCCGCCACAAGTTATTTGGTACCCCAGTGTGCAGTCGATCATGGAGACTGCGGATTCAATCTGCGCTTGACCACTCGTGTAGAATTATCCAAACCAGTTGCGCAGCGGTGCTGACTTCCATCCCAACGAGTATGAGCATTAGGGTCCCGTGGCCCACAGGAGACATGTGCGACAAATGCACAAACCACAAGCATGAAAAGCAGCTTGAGAAAGCGTTCATGAATCTGGCACTTCCATGGATCGTGAAAATCACTTACACAGGTTCATCAGCGGCCCCCTATATAGAAATCGCCTGTCCTTCCCAAATTCCTAATCTTCACCCTCCAATCTACAACTAGCATGGCCCACCTTCGATTGACGCCCATTCGCTACAGTTCTCCCGGCGACATACCTCCGGCCAGCGAAACGTACACCGAGTGCGTTCTTTCCCATGGCAGTTCCGTCTGTATTGCCACGCCCGGCGCGGCAGCGCGGTGGCGCCAATCGGCGCGCCGCGCGCAAGATGGCGGAATCCTGCTCCGCGGCAGGAACGCGGTCTCGCGCCCTATCCTGCCTGTCCCCACTCTGACCCCCCCATCGAGCCGTTTTGTCGCGGATACCGATTTTGGAGCAGGCGTGACAGAGGGCGCGGGGCCCGTTTGCACGGCGCTCCTGCTCGGTGCGGGTAGCAGTACGGAACACTGAACATGTCGGCAAGGATATCAACGAGGTTCATTCAACAATGGGACGTGCGCCAACCAGGGAGGAGTCACTGACAATTTGGCCAGGTGACATTCTGGCCAAATTATCGTACCTGTATCGGAGCCCCAAAAGTGCAGCCGCAACAGTCCGGCGCAGCTCTGGTGGGGAAAAGTGCACTCATTTTAGGGTCCGCCATGAAGTCACAGCGACCAGGCTTGTTATTTACGCCGCGAACCCAGATAATATTTGCTCTTTTGCGTGTAAAAGTAGATTTTGCATTTTTATGCGTAAAAGCGTAAAAATTCGTAAATACAGCCCTGAGTGCGTAAGGACAGTACATGAAGACTTGAAAAGTACGAGGAGTGGCAGCCAGACGCCCTGGAATGGGTAGAAGACGAACTTTTGCTCCACGCCATCATTGCCCTTTCCGAGACATAGAATGACACTGTGTTGCGGGTGTTCGAGGGACGGAGTACAGATAATCGAGCGCCGCTTCACTTGTAAGCTTGGTGCCGCAATGCGCCGTAAAGACGCAAATGCAGCGGCAGAATTAGCTCTTTTTTCCAAATTGACGTTTCTGCGCATAAAACATGAAGGTAACAACGTAAACTTAGACACAAATAACAAGCCTGACAGCGACCTTGTGGTCGGGCCGTAGCGGCGGCCAACATGCGCTCTTGCGGTTGCGGCGCCGTTGAGTGAAGATATAGACAGACGGCTACCGGCGGATTCCAGCTGGAATCCTTGCAAGGGACACGCGGCTGCCTTGTATTGTGCCCACCAGGCTCGTGGCAGTTTGATCTGGACATGGCGCGAGGTCGATGAGTGCACCACGCGAGGATGACGTTAGGCGCTCAACAATCTGCCCGAAGGATGGGGGCTTGCACACAGGTTTTCTAGTGCAGACATTGAAACAGCCTCGTTGGCCAGCTAGGGCCTTTTTGTGCCACCGAGGCCGTCGTTTTGCCATCGGCCTTACGCCCCAGAGATGTAGGCACCGATTTCAGACGGCACGATTGGCCCTTGCGCTGGCCCTGTCCAAGAGTAAGGCTGCCCCTTGCCCCGCTCACCACTGCCGTCTCGTTCGCGCCCAGGAGGTTGGGGCTCCAGCCGAGCAGGCGAAGTTCACACCGTTTTGTATTCAGTCAACGGCGTCGAGAGTCGAGGTGGGAGGGCTTTTCTGCCGCACTGACAGGTTATGATACTTGACCAGAATGTCACTTGGTCAAACTGCCATTGACGCACCAGCGAGCTGTGTAATTGGTATTACCAGTTTTCCTGCTTTAAGCACAGTGGCTTTAAATTTGGGTCACATGGTTCACTCGCCATGGCAAAGCGCATGGCCCCTTGAACAATGTTTCTAATGGTAGTGGTGACATTGACAGAGGTGTGTGTCGGATGGCTATGGCGGATTGTTTCCTTGAAAGAGTCGTAGGGAATCTTCCATCTGCCGCGGTTTCGCAACCTGCCTTGGGTTAGGCAAGGCCATAAAAAAAGAAAAAATGGAAGAAAAGAAAAAAAAATCGCGAAATCGCGATATGACCGTTGTCGCCTGTGGTCCAATCCATGCCACATGGCCTTGCCAGCTGAAAGGGGCTCCACCCGAAGCGTTAGATCGCCAGGTGCTGTGTCCGCCTCCGAGGCGATGAGCGTATGCCGCTCATGCTCGTCGCTCGACCTGCCCTCTGCGGTGCTCCCATGCCCATTGTTCCCTAGGCTATAGGAGCCGTTCCTGAGGCTCCGGACTGGTGAGAATGACTTCGAGGCAGTTTTGCGTAACGACAGATTCAGAGCCCGGCCTAACATGAGCATACATGTGTGCACTATTCAGGGGGGAACTCGGGTTACGAAATCCTGCACGACTCGTGAAGGCACGGCAGGAACCGCTCTGATTAGGCCCTTGTGCCTGTAAATTTTGCAAAGGGCTATTTTACGGTCGTATTTACGTTTTATTGCTCGTTCCGACACCCAAAAAGTCGCGCACAATGATCAGTCCTCCGTCCCCGCGAGCACCCGCAACACAGAGTCCACCTCGCCCTCTGAAAGGGCAACGATGGCATTGAAAAAGAAACTCGCTTTCTACCTATTCCAGCGCGTCTGGCTGCCACTCCTCGTAATTCCAAGTCTGCATGCACTGTCCTTATGTACACAGAGCTGTGTGTAGTAGCACGTGGTTTTATGCATATTACGCGTACAAACGTAAAAGCTATTTTCGCATGTAAAAATGCGAATACGATCTGTGTTTTCGGCATAAATGCCAAGCCTGGTCTGTCCTACATCTATACAAGGTTGACCCATTCGTATTCTAACATGCTTCCTTTGGTACCGGTGGATACTGTTGACCTCATTTTGAGGGCTATTATTGACGATTTTCGGGTGAAACGCTGGTCTGCTAGTACAAGTAAGGCGCATGATGCTGTCAATGCCACAAATCGCTTAATGCTGCGCCGAGAGTTGCTAGTGCTGTTGCAGCTTGTTAAGCAACAACAGCTGCGCTGCGAGGCAGCACACCCAAATTGTGGGCCCCACAGCGGTCCAGCCTCCGCCCAAGCCCGGCATTCTGCCAAGTGGAACAAAGTGCGACACAACAGAGCACAAATCTTCTAAACACGCGCGGGGTAACCAATCCAGCGGAAAGGCGAGGCAGAAAGAGCACCAGCACGGTTTCGTCGGTGTTCCAAACTGGTCCTCTTAATCACGTATCTGCCATGCTTCCATCCATCGGTCGCAATGCCTGGCAAGAACATACTGGCAAGAAATTGTGTCCCCATCCCATTCATGCATGTGCCATTCCTTTTGCGTCCTTCGATCACAATGCCTAACATCATGTCAACCAAATGGATCATCATTCCATCGATTAATTTGCCGTGCCAGCATCCCTGGATCTAACCGCCCCACATCCTGCCCAGCAAATACATATCATGACACCCCTATTCTGAACCCATTGCCCAGCGCGACACCAGTCACCACAACAGAAGAGCCACGAAAGCACTGGCAAATTCCACATGCAGTCCACAAAGGCGCATGTTCTGCAAATGTTCCTTTCAGAGAAGCAGCGGGTCAAGTACAAAACTATGTTCTCAATTTTTGGGAAAGCGTGTTTCAAGCCAAGGTCGGTTCTTGCCAATCCCAGCAACGAGCTGGGACGAGCAATGCGCCACCACGCCAGACCCTTTGTGACACGCAGTCATGAAATGCAAGCAGCCGAAATTCTTCCCAGTATTCTACATCCCAAGCTCGCGCTGTTGTACATCTCCACCATGCAGCTCAATTTGGACCGCATCCCGCCTTCCAAGTCTGCACATTCTTCTAAACGGAAACCATCCAGTTTCCTTGTAGATGCAAGGACCCCGAACTGGCTCCGATGGCTGCCTTCTACCACTGCACGTGGTCCACGTGCAACAAAATGGCAACGGCTAGCCATGCACTTGCCCCGTCGCATCCATCCAAACGAAAATGCATGAAGAGCACCGCGCAGTGCTCACTGGGCACCTCCAGATTTCAAGAGACTCATGCATGAAACACTGAGGCCTTGGTCATGCCCTGCTGCTGGGGAGCCTGTGCACCATGGCCATGCAGCCGTCCTCTGCATGCGGAAAGGGCATCATCTCCACGCGGGCATTTGGGTTCTGCAGCCTGACCTCGTAGTCCCGTGCCAGCACCACCAGCAAAACCAGCATCTGAACGAGCCCCAGCTCCTTGCCCAGGCACAAGTGGGCCCCCATGCCGAAGGGTGCAAACGAGTCCATCTTGTCGGCCCCTACCTCCAGGAATCGCTCGGGCCGGAATTCGTCACGGTCGCTCCACCTGCCGTCCAGGTACCGCGTGGTGAAGCCGTACCCAGATATGACCTGTGGACAATCCATGGCATGCGTATTACCATAACGTGGGCATGCTTATGCAGAAGTTTGTTCATTTGATGGATCAGTGAAGCTGCCCTGCTGAGACAAAATAGGACTTTAGGGAATCTCAGGGCCGTTACATGTACATGCTTCCTCTGTCTCATATTAGAGATTGTCCATTGGAAACATAAATTTCGGTACGAAAACGGCCTCTGAATTACAAAATAAAATCAGAATTGGCAATACTGCGTCCCAGAACCATCGGCTTCCAATTTTTGAGAATATCGGAAAAGGATGTATAAAACCTTGGCGCAGTTTGCTTTTCACAGGTAGTCCATTGGTGCATGCTAAGTGCTGCTGCGATGCTTCGGGGTTGCCCAATGCAATGCACTTTCTGACCGAACTAGTGGCACAATGCACTTGTCCGCACTGGCCATGCACCGTCCAGACTGAGAACGTAGAATAAAGCTTTGCAGCACCGTCAAGTCGACTGCAGCTCTGAACGAGGCAAGTCATACGGAATCTCAAAGCCATCAACTCAGTCAAGTGATTCACCTGCATGCCGACTGGAATCTGGTAGCCGCCCAGTTCGAAGCTCTTCTCTGCGCGTTTGAAAACGAACGGCACCATGGGTTGCGCCCTGAGTCCCTCGTTCACCACCGCCATGGCATAAACCATGGCATCCAGCGCCTCGCGGGTGATGTCACTGCCAAATCTTTCCATCACTCGGCGCTGCTCCTTGCGCAGGTTGTCCCAAATCTAAACACAAGATTGGGCGAGGTGATATGAGCTGCTGCACATGCTTGGCGCCCATGGCATTACTGTCTGTAATACAAAATACAACACATCCGCATTGTGCATGTGTGTCATGTGCGTGCGGATGCTTATGCAAGCACAGCATTCCACACAAAGGACTGGCGGATTCAGTGTCCCAAGGGAGAAAAACAACGAATTTCCAAAACAGTAGAGTTGTTCAACTTTCAACAATTGAGCTCTTGGAGCCCATTTACTACCACGTCCGTCTGGATCAAGTGCTGAATTTGTAGCATCTTCCAGGAACCTCAATGCCGGCATGTCATCCACCGACAATGATGAGTAGGGATTTCAAGTTGGTGCCACTTCATTATCACAACCGCAGTGATTCGTGAATTATACAGAAGTAAGCTACGACGCGCTTGGAATGCGATGGCATTGATGGCAAGCTTGCCCCTGCTCCAGCAGTAGTTATAATGACACCCCCCAAAAAAACTAAAAGAAAAAAACACGGTTAGGAAAGCCCAGTTCGATCCACATTTGCACAGCTCGCGCAATGAACGCACGATATCCAATTTGCACTATTCCAGGCAGAACTGATATGCTGGATAGCCGTTGTTGCTGACATTTCCCTTTATATTTTTGTGACAAAGCAGAAGGAGGCACTTTGTTCCTAACTTGAGGTGCAATGGAGCAATCAGCAGCCAGTCAAAGTTCCGCAGGTGACAAGATGTCCAAAGGCAGCGAAAGTGTGCTGCTACTGGTGGAAATTGGGCCCCATATCGCCGTGACGAATCCACAGTGTGCACCTGTTTCGATGCAACTCTCAGCAGCTTGATACAAAGGATGCTGCAATAGAAATTGTGCAAAATAAGCATGCTTTCGTCGCACGACAATAATAATGTCACACTGTCCCAATGTTTTCAACTGGTATCAGCTACTGGCTGAGCTCCTCAAACGTCATCTATCTGACCATGCTGAGCGGCATTGCCTAATGAGTGCACGTGCAGTGCTCTGCTGTGAGACACAATCAACGGGTGTCTGAAAAAGGCGCCACGCCGATGTCGGCATTTTGCATGAGGTCCATTGGCTGCATTCCCGTACCTCCACCTGAACGTGAACTGTGGAATGCGGAATGCAGCACCAGATTTGAAAGGAATCATGCCCACGAATCGTGTTGGGTCATCTACTAATCAATTGAAATATTTTTCGCTCTCAAATCAAATTTTGAAAACAATTGCCTCGAAAAGAACGAGAAACGGTTCCACTCGAGCAGGCGCAGAAGCTGAAGTGCGATCCCTAAACTAAACAATGTGTCTCTAACGGTGCAGCCATGCGTTGGCTCCTCAACTTGCCTTGGGGTTGAGCGCCAATCCATGAAAAATGGTGTCCATTGTTGAGCTGACAGTGTCGTATCCTGAAGGAAATCAACCAGTCAGCAACAGTCTATGGAGCACCCTGCTGTCTCTGCTATTCAATAATCATGTTTGTTTTGAGCATATTCCACATGGGAATGGATTTTGATACTTTGCATGTCGCTGTTGCGCCGAATGCCAAGGATGACGATGGTTAGGTCGTGCTGATGCTTTGAATCTGCAGCCATGTTTAGCGAAGCAATTCCCGGACGCACCCTTTGGTTCCATAGTACTTTGTGATATTTAAGTTCCAAGGCTTTCAAGGATAGCCATTGAAAGTGCCAGGATTTGGACAGACCAATGGGAGGCGTCTGCTCCAGTAAAATACTGACCTAACATAGTAGCACAGATCAGGGGTCGCTCAATAGTGCGACCTCCAGTTGATGGTACCTGCTTGAGCATTCGATGCAAGCGTCTTTTACGAATGGGACCACATTGGTAGGTTGGAGGAGATCGATGAGGGAATTGTGCCATGATGTTGCTGGATCTCAGCGCCGATGTGTGGATGCAACAGAGGAGCAACTAGTATCATCGTTGAGATGACAAGCCTTGTGCCTTGCAGTCCATCACACCTTTCCCATCATTTTGGAGATGCTACAGTTGTCCTGTCATTTCAGAGGTTTCCAGACAAAGATAATGCAAAGGGTTTGGGAACGACAGCATCTCATGGAAACGAGTGATCCAGTTTTCGTCAATGTTGAAGTTGACAATATTACAGAAACGATACCACCATTGCTATGAAAACAGCATTCTACGCTGGTGCCCTCTGGCACCCTATTCGCCATCCTTTGCTCTCACCTGCCGAAAGCAAAACGATGACAGTGTTGATGATGAAATCCATGTCGATTCCATTGCCATCCTCGTCTTCAGCATCCAAGATTCGGCTCAGAGCCTTTATGGGCTGTCCGTCTTTGGGTGTGTGCCCCTCCATGACCCGGATGGACTCTTCAACGATGGCAGTCATCTCCTCGTGGCCCTTCAAGCCTTTGTGATATTTCGTGAATGGCAGATCGATTCCCAAGGTGAACATACTGTCGGCTATTGCATGGAGGATTGCTATCATCTCGCTAGGCGATCTGGAAGGAAATTCCATCCCAAGAAACACATCCGTGGTGATCTTGAAGGCGTAGTTTTTTACCTAAAGTGCACAAACGTGTGGTGATACAGAATGGCACAGCGAGGTACCAATACGTCTTGAGAGTGGTCTTTATGCATTCTGACTCGCTAGCCACAACTCATTACTTCATCCTATCCTTTTCATGAACACAATTGAATAATGGTGCCGAAATCAGCTCCAAGGGCTAGTTAGTACAACTGTAAAGTGGGTGAGAAAAGAAGCTGCAATAAGAACTAGACCACAATTAAGCACACCAACGAGGCCCATCTTTATCTGCTGAGCGTTCAATGCTGCCCGTCGTGCATTCGAACTCATTTACGTACATAATTAGGTATCACAACCAATGGCAACATAATAGCCAATCTTCATGCCACTGCCTCTCTCCCAGTCACTAGTCCCGCCCCCTCCTTCAGGCTAGCACAGATCTTTACCTCTTTAGCCAATGAAAACCACTCCCTGCCTTCGCACTCAGCACATGTTTGTCTGGCGGTGTCAGCAATAAATGGGAGGCAGGTCATCACGGAATCTCTGCTGAAGGCTGGAAATAACAATTTCCTGACATGGGCATGCTTGACACCTGCCCTCCGCACCATCAAAATGCACTCAGGAAGCCCAACTGCAATTGGAACGATGCGGTGCACACAAGTCAAGAAGCAACTGCAATGCCAGCAGGGTGGAGTGAAGATTTGAGTAGATTGAGAGGTTGAGTGATGGTTCCATAACACTGAATCACCAACGCAGTGCTGAGGGCCCCATCCGAGACAGCTTGGAAGCTCCAGTCTATCCCTGGGGATGCCTAGCCAGACTTTTGAGCAACATCAGCTCCGTGCACTGCAATCTAGACCATGCTTCCAAACTTGCATTTCATTTTGCCGCCTATGTTCTGTTGTTGGCATTATTCTCCACAGCAGTCTCATCCACAATGCTGGCCCCTGTCTCACAGTCAAATTAGCGGCTTACTTCTGGAATTCTTTGAGAACTATCGTGTAGTGGACAATGTGTATTACACAGTCCTCAGTGCTTTCGAGCACACACCGTTGAGGGACACCAAGTTGTCCATGCCAAGGACCTTGTAACCTGGTGTCACTTGCTGCACAACGAGAGCGCCTCTTGCTTCCAGTTGATACACCTACAACACACCATTTCACACAATGTTGCCATGTGCCTTTCGTAATCAATGCCAGCACAACAGGCCGTCTCAATTGCCCGTTCACAATGCAGAAACATTCACACAAGGCACTGTTGAAAAAGTGCACAACCTTTTTAGCACATGCGATTACAACTCATCAAACCAGCACACTGTCACAGAGCAATTTTCTTGGAGCTTTCAGGGATTTCTGGATTTGTGTGTCCAGCATATGCACACTGATTATGCATTTCCTTTGTACTGATTGTCCTGGTCCCTTACATGTGCTCTTCCTGTTGCATTCAGACCCCTACAACATTGAATATGACGAAAAGAGACTCCCATGAAGATGTGCCAAAAAGAGGATGCTCACAGTGTTATATTTTTGCTTTCCCTCAAAAGATCACTTTTGGGCAGGCTTGATTGCATCTGGCCCTTATGATTAAGGTCTGCACTAATATCAAGATTGATCTTTGAAATCAGGACATCTGAAATTCAAGGTTCCCCAAGCCAAAATGTTGCCTGTGGCCACCAACAGTCAATGGCTTATTGTCGTGGTGCCGTACGCTGCCAGCTTGAGGATCTTTAACTCCTGGATACTAAGTAGCACAGCAGATGGCCCCCTCCTCATGCACCATGAGACAGACTCTTTCCGCATTGCAGAAAATGCACTGGAGCACTCCAAAGAAAATGACGTAGCCAACAACAGATGGCAACTTGCCGAGTCCAATCGTGATGCCAGGCACTCACCGTCTTGAGCTCCTCAGCACCGCATACAACAATGCTCTTTGAGCCAAATATGTGGGTCTTGAAGATGTTACCATGTTCCTTTATGCGCTTCAGGGTAAATGCACTCATGTCTTTCAGGAATTCGACTGTCTCACCCAAGACAGGCCATCCATAGCTACCTGAGAAGAATGTTAAAATGATTTCACATACAAACGTTTTATACAGATTGTGCACTTCCCAAAGACAATTTCGAAATTCTCGATTCTGCTGTCAACTTGCTGGAATAACACTGCAATCACAGTGGAAATGCTTTGCAATGAGCTAAACAAATTTAACTTGCCTCATCAGCATTTCCTGAAACGAGAACTATCATGCCATGAGAAACCGTGTTGCACATGGGGCCCTCTCCTGACCAAGGTGTCTATGAGGCTGTTGGCAATGCTAAGCAACGGTGAGATATATCCGCAAACAGCAATAAGCAGCCAGCAGGTACCATGATCGGCAAGATCCTAAGCTGTGAACAACAATTGTGTGTTCAAAATCCTAACACATTGAAAGACAAGAATTAGAAAGAACAGCAAGGAGTGCATAGTGTACATCCAGCAATGCGGCAGGTTTTCGGGAACAGGGTTCTATCAGATCCCTCAGGACTCGAAATTGCTGCAGGTTCAGCAGTTCGTTCTGCTTCAATGCTGTGATACACATTGTGATATGTGTAATCCTCGAGCTTCTAAGTGAGTCCGAAACAAGTGTACAGCAGAGGCTGGGGGTTGCAGCAACAAGAGCAATGGATCAAACCTTCCCTACAGAACACTTTAGGATTCTTGTGTTCCAACAAACTAAAATTGAAGTATCTGAATGCACATGGAAATGCATGTTGCATGGAACGTTTTGCCTAGGATACCCATTCTTTCAAATTGAACAAATTGAACACTTGCAATAATTCTGTGTCGATGATATTTACGTTGGCAGGAAAGCAGTGCAAATGGTGCTTGGACAGGAACAAGTTACCCATTGCTGTGCACAGGGCTGTTGAGTTCAATCCAGACTTTGCACAAATGCTCTGCACGTGGCTCGGGATCCCGTTCCCCAGATGTGGTGCTGTGATTGATGGTGGAAACGCCACTTGCAACCACGTTTATTGGGCGACTATGCGGCCATCATAATGGCAGAACTTGCACTGGCTGGGCGCCGCCACAAGCATATCCTTGCATCCCATGCTGCAGTCGATCATGGCAATTGCGGATTATTTCTGTGTTGAAATACTTGGGTAGGATGCTCCAACCAGCCGCACAGCGAGGTTTAACGCCCATCCCAACCGAATCACAGCGCCAGGCTGCCCGAGCCCACTGACGACCAGTGCGAAAAGGTGCACCAGCCACCACCGCAAAAACAACCTGAGAAAGAAACGCTCAAGAAAACCTGGGCGACCATTTCTTTCGCAAGCCATAAAACCGCCCCTCGCAGGCCAACCACCGCCCTTTTGCACGCAATTCGGCCCTCCTCCCCACATTCCATACGCCGCCCCTCCGATCCGCCACTCGCACGCCCACCCAGCCCCATCCTCAAATCGCCTCCGCCGCGCGGCAGGCCTCCCGGCGCCGTTACCTCCGGGCAGCGAGGGCTCCTCCGGGTCCGCGTCCTCCCAATCCCGCTCGGGATCGCCCGCCACGCCCGGCGCCACGGCGCGGTGGCGCCGATCGGCGTGCCGCGCACAAGATCGCGCCCATGCGCTCCGCGTCAGGAACGCGGCCGCCCCGCGACCTATCAGGCTGGTCCCGGCTCGTGACCCCATCGAGCCATCTTCACGAGAACATGGGTAAGGGATTCGCCATGTCAGAGGGCAAGGTGGAGCCATGTGGCGCACCGAATGGTGCGCGCACTGCGTGCGCATCTTCATGCACTCTAGACTGCTGTCAGTGGCCTGGAGTGCACGAACATGTCGGCGAGGATATCAACAAGGTCCATCCCGACAAGCGTGGCGGGCAATCAGCAAGCGCCTGGTGGGGTAACCAGACCCGATTGAGTATTATTAGTAGCAAGACGCGTTGAGAGGCGATGAGATAAAAGAGGAACCGACTTAAGGACACTGGTGAACGGACCGGATGTAAGGGACGGAATCCCTGTTGTCCCTTTGCTCCGCCTTAAATCTTTGCCGTGTACTCCTGCCTACGTTCCCCAGTCAGGGGTCGCAGCTCCTCGACCCTGCCTTGGTCAACGGTACGTAGAGGCAAAGGGATAACACGAATACTCTAGATAACACGGGGTGGGGCTGGGATAACGCCCCCGGACTTTGCCGTTCAGCATTGCTGTTGCTTAATGCGGGGAAAGTTAGGACAACGCCGGTGAACGCCAGATGAGTCATCTTAGATGACATTATCATGTCATCTGAGATAATGTCGTCTGAGACGACATTATCATTATTGTGAGGGGCTCACAAATACAATGGGCACAGCCAATCCCAACGCAATACAAGTTTGGGACATCAAAAGCCATAGCAATGGTAGTTCACATGTGGTTGTATCAAGCAGTACGACCCACACAGCACACAATCACATAATGTGTTGACAACACTATACATACCACCACACACATAAACTACTACTCACCCATGTCGATCATAGCATTAATAAATTAGGATGGCCATCCACAGATTGGCAATTGGCTGCCCTAGACTTCAAAAATGCTTGTCACACCCAGCTGCAATGCAACAAGTAAATTCTGAGCGTACGCTATTCAGTCAATTCGCACCCATAGATTCAACCGTAGTCCAGTATGGCTAATACTGGACCAGACTCTTCGGGTCATCTGAATCAAGCATTATGCTGTACCGGGACCTTGAGGCACTGCTCGAGACTGTCTTAGCTGGCGCGCGGATGGTGCAAAGTACACAAGTGGTGAGTGGTGTCGCCACAACGTGGAGAGGAGAGTGAGCGGCACCCCACAAGCTGCTTGGTCGGAGGTCCTTGCTCGTCAAGTGTATCATAAGGCGGGGAAATGATGCAGGGCACTCTAGATAGCGCCACCTACGCTGCGGATATTGGCGGGAATATTCAACGCGGAGGGGCGTTTATTCTCCGTTCTCCGCGGTAAACGATGAAATTACTAAACTGGCGGTTTTGATTGTGGTGGACAGGCTTGGTTTTTACGCCGCAAAAACTGATCGTATTTACGTTTTTACACGTAAAAATAGTTTTTACGTTTTTAGGCGTAAAAATACGTAAACACAACGTAGAAACTGCCCGTTGTAGATAAGGACAGTACATACAGACTTACGGAGTCCGGAGAGTGGCAGTCGGACGCCCTGGAAGGGGCCTAAAACGAGTTTTTGTCGAGGGCCATTATCGCCCTTGCCAAGGGCGAGGTGGACATTATGTTGCGGGTGCTGGAGATGGCAAGAAGTTGATCATTGTACGCAACTTTCATCGTGTAATCTGGTTGTTCCAGGGAGCCGTAAACACGTAAAAGTAGCCCTAAAAATAGCCCCTGCAAATTTACGTTTTCACGCGTAAAACTTAAAAGTAAAAACGTAGACATAAACGTGAAAACCAAGCCTAGTGGTGGAGATTGGAATTACGTCTGACTCGCCATGACAAAGCGTGCTGCTGATTGCACAATATTTCTGTCGGTGGTGTTTATGTTAACTAAAACTGTGTATGGGATGGTCATTGCGCAATATTCCCTTGAAACGCTCCCTACGAGTCTCTCAACCCTAAATTCCACAATTTTATTTGGGATAGGCAAAATTATGAAATTGCGAATTGATAATTCACAATTTTAGTCAGCTCCATACCACACGGCCTTTCAGGCTGAAAGGGGCTGCACGTGTGAAAATACGTCTTTACGGTAACGCCCATACTTATCCCTATACTTACGCACTTTCACGTTGACACACGTGTGTCAACTCAAAAATGCGTCAACACAGGGATACATATCACTAGTAAAAAACAGGCCAGATGACACAGTCCTGACACGGTCTGCTCAAAATCCAACCGTGTACTTCCGGCAAATGTGGTCCCAAAAATACACATTTAGTACACGCATTGTCACAGTTTTAACCGTGCATCCTAGAAAACCGTGTACTATACACAGTTGTGTGAGGGTACACGGTTGAAACTGTGCCGATGTGCGTACTAACTGTGTACTTTTGGGACCACATTTGCCGAAAGTACACGGTTGGCTTTTGAGCAGACCGTGTCAGGACTGTGTCATCTGGCCTGTTTTTTCCTAGTGTATGGGCATTACGGTAAAGACATAGTTTAGGCTTGTTACTGCAGCGCAAGTACTTTTTTCTTATGACTATTTACGCGCAGAAACGTTTTTTACGTTTTTCCGCGTACATAGCCGTAAAAATGGTTTAAAATAGGCAGTGTGTACACAAAGATAGAACGCGCAGACTCAGTGAGCCCGGGGAGCTGCATTCACATGCGCTGGAGTGAGTAGAAAACTGCTTTTTGTTCGACGGCGACGTTGGCCCTTGACGACGGCGATGTGAACGCTGTGCTGCGGGCGCTTGAAAGGCCGGAGGACTCATCCGTGTTTGGGACAAAATCATGCAAGCTGAGTATGTCCACGAGCCGTAAAATACATAAATATGGCCGCCAAACTGGCCATTTCTCAGTGCTTGCGTTTTTACGCGCAAAAATGTGAATGTGGTGCCGTAAACGAAAATAACAAGCCTGGGAACAACCATGCAACAAGACGAAGTCGCAGTCATATTATCAGTCCGCAATCTCAAGCGCCTCCTGGTTGAGCGCACTCTGCTCCCTTACCAGCGGGAGGGAGCTTCGCTAGTGCGTGTTGTCACGCCACAGCCGCTGATGCCAGCGAGGTGACAGCATTAGCGCTCCTCGCCGCTCACTACTAAGCAGCAGTGGCATCAGGTGAACTGTACGGCGTTCACGTCCGTAATGGGCGTGGCGGCTGCCCCGGAGGTTTGGGCGACATGGCGAGCGAGGGCGATAACCAATCACCAGGGGAGAGCTGGCCCAGGGTGTGCGCTTACAGGGCGCCCAACTACATGCGCTTAAACATAAATATGAAAAAACATAATTATGTACAATTGCATAAATTCAAAACAGAATTACAAGTAAATACCTGGCCTGATAATGGGTTGACAATCGACACTTTTCGTGCACGCCTTTGACGTAACGTGTCCGAGGGAATAAGACAGAGCAAACGGAGGCAAAGATAACAGCATTCAAGGCAAAGTACACACATTGCTGAAAGGAGTGGTGTCAGAGTATACAGCAAAGAGTGCCCCAGACTGCACGCCAAGCACTGAAATTTCACTGCTTAGAATGTTGTATAAATAACCTTCTATCAAACCCCAGCCTAAACGCAACATGCCTGTGTGCCATCACCCTCACCACTCCGCGATAAAGTTCACCGTCATTCGTGATGGCATCAAGCCCATTTTCCTTACGACCATTGTTACAAATTGCAGCCTCTCACGCCTTCCTTTCTGCACAATTCCAAGTCCAGGCTACAAAAGCACATTGGCGGTGCCCCTCCACAGGCGAGCGTTCAAAGGATCGTTGAGGCCCTTCAGTCACGTGCAGCGCTGAGGCAATGTTACAGCTACAGGCACAGTGCGCAACCACCCAGCATATCGTCCCTCAGGTGGCGACGTAGAACAGTTGCTCATCCTTTCCGTCACGTGACTGTTCCTCCTCCCGGGTGTACCAGGGGCCATCTTCCAAAAACGTGTTGAACATGCGCCACGCATGCTCCGGCTGGTCCATTGGAACAAAATGCCCTGCTTGGTACACCTACATGAACGCCGGGAAGAAGTCAACCTGGGTATTTGAAATGGATTCCCATTTCAGTTTTCATACTATGTAGTATGGCGTTTGCGGAGATCGCATTCGGAACAGTCTGCGCAGATTTCAAGCTTCACACGTGTACGAAAAATGTTCCAATTATTGAAATGGTAACAGTTGTTAAAAAAGAAGAAAAATGGTTAAAAGGGGGGAACAAAGCTGCAATGCCACCAAAACAGGATAAGAACAACGCGACCTGACACATTTCCGAGGCGGTCTACAAAACAAGCGAACGACCTACCATTAGCAAGGTTCAAACACACAAACAATTGCCCAGATTGGCCGATTGTCCTTCAGTGTCGCCGCCTCCCCAGCGCGAGAGCGGGATTCTGCAGCACCTTTGATGACATGCGTCTAATCCAATCAAATCTATTTCGACATCGCAATGCGCAACCCTATTCTGTTTGGGTCCCCGCTCGCCAGCTTCCAAAGACACGTCTTTCCATGTCTTACCAACCAACAGACGCTTCTTGGTAATAGGGATTGATGGATTTGCGGACTATGTGTTGCACATTAGACTGCAATGAACTGACCACGAGCACAGCTTTGCTCGGGCAAATAGGAAGCTGGCTGCTGCCTCCTTGACTTGTTGTGTAAAAATGAATGGCAATGAGGGAGGCTTTCCGCAGCCCTTCAACAAATGTAGCCACGCGATTCGCACCTTGACGAACGTCAGCGGCCCCACGCTCTTGGCCATGCCGGCGGGAGTGCCCGCCACGCTCCACTCCCTGTCCTGCCCAGCCAGCCACGCCTCCGAGCCGCTCCAGCGCAGTTTGTCCACCCACACCCGGTTGCCCACCCAGTTGCACAGCAGGTCCTGGTCGCCCGCATAGATGAGCACCTTGATTCCGTCGTCCAGCAAGGGCGCCAACCAGGCGTCCACGCCGTACATCCATTCCCATCTCATGTCGGACTGCACCGTTCTGTTGCACTCGTGGAATGGCTTGCTCACCCCGAGCTTCCTCTGAATTTCGGGAGTGTTGAGGTAGCTGCGCAGGCGCGACACCTGCCAGCGGCGAAAGGCCCCTTCTCGTCACGTCAAAAGGCGAAAGTTTTACCCATTTGCGTCGAAGTCCATCACCATGGCTTGTGTTTCCCCATTCTAATGTGCAATAGAATGGATTCAAATGGTCTGATAGCCTAACAAACATGACGCCAACACGACAGGTCCCTGCATTGGACGCGTGCACATCTTCTTTATCAGTTTTCTGTCCATCAGTTTTCGAGATTGTGGCCGCGCAAAACGTCTAACTGCTCTTCCGGTGCTTAGCAGAGTGGTGAATGGTTTCCGGCAATTCGCACAGTGTTCGTGCATAAATTCATGAGCCACATTCCTTGAAAATTACTGACACCCAGCACTTCTCCTTCACAATCATGCCCTTGCGACAATTGACTGCAACGACAGCGACGCGCCTTGCAAAAAAAACAGCCCCCTCTGGGAATCAGGACATTGATTTGACACAGTCGGATCCTTTGCTGCGTGCAATCAGCGACTCCTTGCGAATCGGCGCACAATCACGCTCTCCTGTTTTCCGACCTGGGGTGGGCACAAGCTGGTGTTGGCGCAACGTAGCCGGATGTCATAGGTGTAGATGCCTGGATTGTTCACGATAATGGGCTCATACTGCGTCGCCTTGCAGTAATCCAGCGCAGCATAGCAGGGCGTGACGAACTGGGTCTTCGTGCAGGCGTCGGCAGCCATCTTGCACAGGGGGTAGGCCATGGCCATGGTCTCAGCCGCGGACTTGCTGATGAGGTTGTTCTGCAGGGCGTACTCGCCATAGGCGCCGTACTGAATGGCGGGGTCAGTAAGACCGTTTCCAATCACGAGGCCCTTCAAGTTGATGTGGGGGCCCACCCCGCCCTTGTTCCACTGCGGGATGCACCGCGGAAGGATAATCAGGAAGCGCAAGAAGGACGCAGCTCTGGCGTACTTTACTGCGACAGGGCAGCCGTTCGCTATATTGTGCCGTTGGTGAGCAATACTTGGCGAACAACACTCACTGAGTAGTCATGGAAGCTCACTGAGTATCGTGAAGCAAACGGGCTCTGGTTTGCATGCAGCTGCAATTGTCTCTGCGTTTCTGCTTGATGGGATACTCTTCCTGCCAGAGTCCACGCTGACAAAGTGCCGCCACAATGCGTCCATGGTGTCTTTCACCCAAAGCAAGGCCCAATGGCTGTCGTACAAATCTGCCCTTGCTTCGGGATCCAAAGTACAGCACTGCGCCCCAGTAATTGACACTTCACAAATCCAACATTCCAACCGAAATCACATCCTTCTGGTGGCCTAGAGAGAGAGCAAAAGAGGACAGCATCGGTCGTTGGGCGCCCCCATAAATGTGGAGACCCCCCCTCTCCGCCCCATGGTGAAAAGCGCGCCCAGATTTCTGCTCAAACACGAGCCACGGTTCCCTTTGAAAGTAAGCCCAACGCAAAGCGATCGGCCCATATGCCGCCACCACTTGTGGGCCTTAAGGTCCCGAATCGCCTCCAGGACTTCCGCCTGCACCGTAGGCGTCCCACAGGACAGTCTGACGTGTCTACGTCTCTGTGACGTGCAGCTGGTAGCAAGGATGACTGAACCGGGGATCGTTCAGGTAACCCCATTGAGATGTCCCACCACTCTACCGAACCACTCGGCCAAGGGCAAGGAAGAAGGCAGTCCACTCCCCTTGGCGCAATTCCGGCCAACAACCTTCCACCCACGTCTCCCTAAACAGAAACTCATTAGCTAACGTTATGAGCTAGGGTCTACGGCCCCTATCAAAGGAGGTGGAAAGCGCTCCAACCTGAGGTATCAAAGGGCACCCGACATCCTGACTCCACAATGGTACTGTAGTGCTGGATTGATGGAGTTTTATCACAATATGTGTTCTGCATTTATGGAGAATGCTAGTAGGTGTCCGATCTTTGAAACTTGCACCACATATTTTCGTTACATATGCATACAAAGGCTGGAGAGCCGCACATGATCCACACACATGGTACTTTGATTAACCTGACCAGAGCCCTTCCATCGATAGACAGTAGTGATGGTGCCCAGGTACCTGGGACAGGTACAAGATTTTTCTTGTACCCACCAAATAGGTACCCAACAACCCTTGTACCCGGTTGGCAGTTCCTGTTACATACTTGGATATAGGCGGGTACTGGAGGGTGCCCAGATTATTCGGGTACTGTAAGTACCTAGGTCTTGGTACAGAGTCTGTGACTGCTGTTCGAAATTTGTGCAGTACCAGGGCCTGCAGTACATTCACGTCCCAACACGGGTTGGATTCCCACACTTCCTGTGAGGTCATCGCCTCCACACTTGGTGTTGATGCATCCATGATCATGCTTGGCATTTACTATCACCATGCTCCTTTCTGCAGGGTGCACATTTGGAGGGCAACCAGGGGAGCCAGCAAGCAGGAATCGGAGGATCCGACGAGATGGGATTCCAAACATGGTGTTGCATGGTCGTTAGCAGGTGGCGGGAGCTGATGTGGCAGAAGAGCACCTTGGGGCAGTTGCTGCATGTTGCCACGTTCAATGCAAGCCGTTTGGTGTGCACAAGACAGCACGCCCAAAGGGCAGCAGGGCCTTCGCTTGTTTCTTGTCATATTTGTTGTGTTTGTTTGCAGCCGCTGGCCGGTGACACGTTGTCGCTGTATCCTTTGTGCTGTTCGCCACCATGAATGTTTTGTAGCTACTCTTGTTTCCTGTCGCTACGGTTGTTGTTTTTTCGCATCGGAGACACGACATCATCTTTTCACGCCGTGGAAAAGAGTCTCGATGCACTTGCATAGGAGGGGGTGCCCTTCGCGTGACCTGTTTCTTTCTCTCTTTGTAACCAATCTCAACCCCAACCCCCCGGGGTCTCATGCACACTTGCTCAGGAGGGTGTGCCTTTCGCATGACCAACTTCTCTTCCTCTTCGCAACAATACCTCATCCCAACCACAACACCCACGCCCACCCACCTCGAGGATGGAGTCTCTATATCATCTTTTAACAGCATTGAAATGAGGCCCGCATACACTTGCTCAGGAGGGCGTGCCCTTTGCATTACCCGTTCCTTTCTGCCTTCGTACCAAATTTTACCCACCTCTTGGATCCAAAATGCGATCGCCGGCACATATTTTCCCCCGTACGACTCCCCGGTCACGTAGAAGTCCCTGTCCGCGAACTCCGGCCGCGCCTCCAGGAACGCCCACATAAAGCGCGACACGTCCTGCGCCACCGCATCCTCGCACCTCACCGCGTCCTCGGCCGCCCCGGCCGTCGAAAATCCAGTCCCCACGGGCTGGTCGATGAATATCATGTTGGCCCCCAGGTCCCAACCCCAGGGGTTCATGCTCAGGGTCATGTTCTCGTGCAGTCGGTACGGGCCGTTCTCGAAGAAGACGCCCAGCTCGCTGGCGCATCCCGGGCCACCGTTGGTCCAAAGTACTAGCGGGTCGTCCGGCGCCTGGGACCGGCTCTCAAAGAAGAAGTAGAACAGCGAGGCGTTGGCCTTGTAGTCAAGCTTGAAGTAGCCGGCGGTGTGGGCCGGGGGGTCAACGACCGGGACCCCATCGCCCGGCGGGAACTCGGAATGTTGAGAATGGGGTTTGGGTGGGTTCAGGAGTGCAAGGGGCCACTCGGTTATGCGGCCCTTGGCGAAGGCGACCGGCGAGAGGGCGGAGAGGACTAGGAGGGGGAGCAGGGGCGGGGGCATGGCGGCGGGAGGGATCTGGGTGGGGAGGAGCCGTGGAGAGGCTGAAAGGCGACCCCTGAAAAGATATGGGGAAGGGCGGAAGCGGTGGACATGTGTGGGGAGCGACGGCGTGGAAACAGGTGACCAGCTGGCGAAGCTTTGTGACTGCTCCGCATAAAGGGACCAAACGTTACGTTACAGTGGGGGCCCCGGTTTGGCGACCACTGGTGACAAGCCGGCTGAACGGTCGCTAAACCTCTCCGTGGTCGCTAAATCCCTGCAGTGCTTTGAGCCCTTCAGCAGTCTAAAGTACTGAAAGTCCCGCAAGGCGTCCCGTGCGCTTTTCCAAACACGGCTACATATGCCCACCATTGCGTGGTTCGATTCTCTTGATCCTATATGTCGGTGTAGGGGGTACCCTTGCAGCCAGTATAAGGGGTACCCCCTGCACCCTGTATAGGGGGTATGCTATACCCAGCCTACCGGGCACATATTGGCTTTTGGTGCCAGCGACTTAGTCGCAGCGCCAAAGTCGTGGGTGCTGGGGCCTATCGCAGTGAAATAAAGTACTACCGGATTGGTGACAAGCTGTCCAAGTGGTCATTAAACCTGTCCGGTCACTACTCAGGTAGTCGCTAAACCGGGCGCCCTACTGTATTTGGAAGTATTGAGTCACATGACCGTGCCTTGTGCGGTCACATTTCCATCATCAACCCTATCCTGTGATTAGGCTCGCCTTCTTTGTGAGTGGCTTTGATCAAAACACCAAAGAGTGTTGTCGCGTGCTGTTCGCATGCAAAGAATGGTGATGGGAAAGATCGGGTGTGAGGAGAGTCAGATTTCGTGATTCCCCACACTGCACGACGCCCAAGCCAGGATGTCGAACAGCAGGCGCCACTGCCAATACAGGTCATTTCTAGCCTGTCCACACTTAATGCAAAAGTGATGGAAACTTGTGCAACATTCACGAAACATGCTCAAGTGCCCACAGGCTATGTGGAGGGCACAGAAAGCAATGTGTACATTCCTTTTCCTTTTGAGCAGGCTTGTTATTTGCGTTTATTTTTTACGTTTTGGTGTTTACGTTTTTATGCGCAAAAAAGTAAATTTGCAAAAGGGACTATTTTAACGGCTGCATTTACGTTTTGCGTCTCGTTGTGACACACCCAGGTTGCACGATGAAAGTGTTTACAATGATCAGTCCTCCGCTGCTCGAGCACCCGCAACACAGCGTCTACTTCGCCCTCGGCAAGGGCAACAACGATGTAGAACAAAAATTCCTGTTCTGACCATTCCAGCGAGCCTGCCTTCCGTTCCCCGGACTCTCTAAGCCCGTACGTGCTGTCCATATGTACGCAAGCCTGTGGTTACGTTGTTTTCACGTATTTTTACTCAATTTCTGTGCGTAAAGCGTAAATGCGATCTGTGTTTGGGGCGTAAATAACAAGCTTCCTTTTGAGTTGGTGTGCATATTCCTGTTCGTTAATATATCAACTATTTGGAGTCCCACTCAAGCGACGCTTGGAAAGCGTTCAAATGCGTATGCAGCGGATATTCTCTGTGGAAATCACCTGTCTGTGAGGCACGCAGATATGCATTATTAGCATATAAATATTTGTATACATCTTGCTACGTATCCACAGAGCCAACCCTGTTCAGAGGCGCAGTGGGGATTGTTGTCTTTACAGCATAACTGCACAGAGATCTCATACGCCGGACCCCATGCAATGTCGTGCTTTTGTAGATTGATCCGCTAACATTCAAATGCTTGTTTGCGTCCTTGCTTTCTCTTGTCAGGGTGGGCAATCATGCACACCAGTGGTGAATAGTTGATGACGCCTGAAACATGCCGAAGAAGCAACAATCGCCAGCAGCCGCAAGTTTGAATAATAATCTTGGTGAAGAGCTGAGTGGCGACAACCTCGGTTCTACTAAACCAATCAGTCATTCAAGATACGTTACATGTCAAGGCGATGAAGTGGCCTTACCGGCAAGCGGCTGATGAGCCACCTCGCTGGTGGTCCCCTGGCACTCGGTTTCTCACTTTCTGGCTACGGCAATGTACACTGGTGTACCTTGCGGTGCGCCGCAATCCAGGGGTCTGCTAGGACGCAGGGAAGGGCACACTCAACGGACACCGTCACAGACAGAAGCCAGGCGCCGCATATTGCCTTTGGCGTTATGTGTCCGAGGGAATAAGGGGTCTTACCATCATTAACTGGGACCCGTTCGCTTGCCGACAGGGCGAAGTGGTGTGCAACGATAACTAATTGCAAGGCAAAGCGCAACTCTTGTTCAAAGAAACGGGTTTCAACACGGTACAAAGAGTGCCCCAGACCTCAAGGCCAAGCAGTGGCACAACATTCCATCTAACCCCGCCCTAAAATGAGGCGCCCTCAGCGCTCCAACACAAAGTTCAACGTCTTTCTCGAGAAAGAGTATAACATGAAAAAAATGTGAGCTTCCTGCGCATCAAGCGAATTTCGGTTCAGCCATTGTTCTGAAATACCACCCTTCTCCGTTCGCTTTCTTCAGATTCCAACATCAAATTAAATCTACATCGGTGATGCGCCTCCCCAGGTGAGCCTCCAATGGATCCTTGACGCACTTTCAGTCGCGTGAGCTCCTATATCAATGCTGCCCCTACAGACGCAATTGCTTATGCACCCAGTTCCTCGTCCCTCAGGTGACGAGGTAGAACTGTTGCTCATCCCCGCCGTCACGTTCCTCCTCCGGGGTGTACCAGGCGCCATCTTCCACAAACGTGTTGAACATGTGCCACGCGTGCTCCGGCTGATCCATGGGAAGAAAGTGCCCCGCTTGGTACACCTATGAGAACGCCGGAAAGATGTCAAACTCTGGTACTGGCACATGGATTTCGATTTCTATTTTCAGATGGTGTTTGCGGCGATGGCATTGGAGATGCAGTCTATGCGTGGACTTACACAATCCAAACTTCGTATGCGTGCGAACATATAGAAGATATCAACATGGCAGAAACTGCTGAAAATGATGAAAATTGCAGAAATTGTAAAACAACATGAAATCTCGTCATAAAACAGGGTGATAGAAACGCCATCTGACCCGTTTTCGAAGCGGTTTACAATGCTAGGGAACGATTTGTCATCAGC